GTAAATCCTCCCTTGAAAGACTTTGCTGGAGGTGAATGAGCAGAATTCACAGTCAATTAATAAAAGGTTGTTTTTTTTTTGGCCAGGACTAGGAGTTTGGGAAGCCTCGGTCAGAACAGATTTGAGCTCCGAGCTTGGCAATTGGGTTGCAACTGAATTGCCAAGCTCAGAGCTCAAACGAACAGCCTGGCTACCAACTGGAGCTACCAATAGCCAAGTATATTTTGCAGAACCACAGGGGCGAAAGCTCTCCGCAGGGAGAGAAAGAGCCAAAGAAGAGATGGGGAATGAAGGTTGTCCAAATCTGGCTTGCAAAGCGTGGGCCGTTTTTACCCTGCCCCTCCCTCAAATGAGGTTTCCCCCTCTTCCAGATGTGTGTCGGCCAGTGCTTCCGTGACCCAGCAGCTGCTGGCTGGCCCCGCCCCCCGCCCCAGGCCGTACCGCGTTAACAACCGTGAGCGGACGCTGCGGAAAGGCATCATGGCAGAGAATTTGGACGACCTGCTTGAGAAAGTAAGTGCGGGGGGGAACGGGCAAATTCTGGGCACAATGGGCTCCCCGCCACAATATTTAAAAAGTTTAAAGTCTTTGCAAATGGATAGAAGAGAATATTCGCCGCTCAGGGTTGCACTGTGGGGTCCTTGGTGCTCTCTGAGCTTGGTGGTTTTGTTTTGGAGGCGTTTCATGGCCCAACTAGGTAACATCATCAGTGCTAGAAGGGAGTTTGCAGAGAGGAGGAGGAGGAGGAGGAGGAGGACTGTGGGGTCCTTGGTGCTCTCTGAGCTTGGTGGTTTTTCTTGGAGGCATTTCAGGACCCAACTAGGTAACGTCATCAGTGCTAGAAGGGAGTGGGGTTTGCAGAGAGGAGGAGGAGGAGGAGGAGGAGGAGGAGGAAGAGGAGGAGGACTGTGGGGTCCTTGGTGCTCTCTGAGCTTGGTGGTTTTTCTTGGAGGCGTTTCATGGCCCAACTAGGTAACATCATCAGTGCTAGAAGGGAGTGGGGTTTGCAGAGAGGAGGAAGAG